ACCACATCCTCTTTGCCTTCTGCTGCCACATCCTCTCCTTAATTCTTAAATTTTTCCATAGTACCATAAAGCTACTCCTCCTCCTTTCAATATCTTCTTCAGTCAGTTGGTTGCTCTCTCCTTTCTCATCAATTTCAGCTATCACTGATTCTGCTTCTTTTACTTTGTCATCCACTTCTACAGCTAAGTTCCGACTCCACTCTTTTAATGCTCTCTTGGTTCTTTTCAGTTTCTCTTTAAGAATGAAGCCTCTCTGTCCCTGAACCTCTTTGGATTTCCACACACTCGTGATTAACTCCATGCATCCTAGTTTTTCAAACCATGCATCAAAAAATTTGAACGGTTTTGGACCCCAATCAATCTTCTCATTCTTGAGTAAGATGGGACAATGATCCGATACTGATCTTCTCAACCCCCACTGTTTAACATCACCCCATTTGGAAACCCAATCCTCTGATAACAAAAATCTATCAATTCTGCTCATATACTGGCCATTAGAGTTGTACCAAGTATACTTCCTACCAAGCAGAGGCAGATCAATCAAAGCAGAATTACTAATAAAGTTGTCAAATTCCTGCATTTCTCTATTCACCCCAGTCTCTCCTGCTCGTTCCTCTATTCCCCTCACTGCATTGAAGTCCCCCGCTAAACACCAATTCCCTTTTTTACTGTTAATCAGGCCCTGAAGATCATCCCATAATATTCTTTTACCCATCAACTGGCACGGGGAATAAATGTTTAGAATATACACAGATATCCTCTCCTCCCCCCATAAAGCAGATATCCCAATGAAATTATTCCCCTCAATTACCTCCATTTTCTTAAGCACCTTAGCATTCCAAATGCATAATAAACCTCCAGACCTGCCCACAGATGGTTTAGCTACCCAATCAAAGTCATCCGTCCCCCATATAATCCTACAAATTTTCCTGTCCACTGTCACTAATTTGGTCTCCTGAATTGCTATAAAATCTACTTTCTCTTTCAACACAATTTCTCTAATCTGTCTTAATTTGCTTGCCAACCCCTCCCATCCCTCTAACATTAAAAGACAGTATCATCATTGGGGTTCTTTGCTTACCTTCTTGGCACCCCCAGTGTCCGACTTGGCCATGTCCCCTTTGATTCGGTAATCTCTCTTCTCCATTTCCTCAATTTTTTGCAGGACCTCGGCGTCGTTTTCTGCATTTGCGCCTAGCTGCTTCGCAAGATCCCAAATCTCCTTTGCTAGCTGACTTTGCATCTGTTCTTTTATGGATCTGTTGTAGTTCATTATTCCACTGTCACCAACCGAACCGCCTGCTACTTTCCCATCCGGATTCGACAGAAAAACTGGAACTTTTCTTTCCGTTGCCCTCTGCATGCTTTGTTTTTTTCCATCGAACTTTCTGATGGAGCCCCTCCGTCCTCCTCTGAACACTGGTAAACCGAACTGCATGATCTGGCCTTCCTTCTTTTCCTCATCGATGATTCCCCGATCTGCTTGTTGATCCATTCCTCCACCCGGCTTTTGTCTTTTTCGAAGCCTCTCCAGAATGCGTCATCCTCCTCTTCTTCATTAATATCCTCTGATATTTCCATAATTCCAGAGCTAACCCTGTTAACAATTGGGTCAGCCATTACTTCCTTCCTTCTATCTTGGGCCAAGCCCATGTTAGTGGATTGTTGTTCACTGGGCTCCTTATCTTCCTTCCTTTTGGATTTGTTTTTGGAGCCCATTTGACTCCCATCTGATATGCCGACCTGCAGAACCGGTACACTGGCCACCTTCTCCTGCTCCAGGAATTTATCCGTTGCTCTACTTTTGTCCCCATTTGAATTTTGAATTCGAAATTGAGATGACCTGCCATCTGTTGGTTTCCCTAACATCACCTCCTCCCTTGTAGGTTGTTCCTGATCTTGACCTACCCACGCCACGTCATCATCTTCTTCACGAACCAAATTTTCATGGCCCAAAACTTCCTCCTCTGCATTATCACAGTCCTGCGTCTCCATTACACTGCCCAACGACCATGACTCATAATCCTCCTCATCACTTTGGAAAGAGGGCAAGAAATCTTGTTTTAAGGAGAAGAAGCAATTTGATACTTCCTCCTCTGAAAATTTGAGGTTGTACAAATTCCCATTGATTTTAACTTGCCGTGAGACTTTGATTGTGTCCATGATCTGAGTGGATATCAAAAATCTTGCTACATCGAACCTTCTCCTTTTGCTAGTGCTATCATCCAGGCATATGAATTTTCCCCAAGAACAACCCATTTTTTTCGAAAAATTCAGTTCCCTAAGCATTCAATGGTACCCCTTGGCATCTTATCCAAACGAACCTTTCGTTGGCCACCATGTTAGATGTCCAAGGCCGCACCTCTTCAAACCATTGTCCTAACCAATCCGAAGCAAGTTCCACCAAATCCTTCAATTCTTCCTTATCCTCACCATCTAACAACACCAGTCGACCACCCATGGCACGAATGCGACACGAAAAATATCCTTCCATATAGAATTTCTCCTGTAAGTTTCGAACCAACTCCACAGAGTGTACCACTCCCACAAAGCATCCCTCCAACCATGCATAATCTTCCGGTTTGGCATTATATTCAAAGCCCGCCCAACTTTCTCCCCTTCCTTTTTCTATCCAAACTGTCCTGTTTTCTTCACTCCGCTGTTTGGAATAGAAACTGCTTAAGCTCCTCTCCGGTCTCTTTTCTTCTTGTTTTTTGGTCTGTGTTCTTCCTTTCTCCACTTGATTCTCCTCTGATTGGCCCTTCACCACTTCGGCATAGCTTCTGTTATGGTTTTTTGGTTCTGCAATGTGACAGTACCTACTCCCCAATTCTGCACTCTTCCCTTCTTCAAATCTTGGGAGATTCACCCATAGTTTCCTACCTCTGATCCATATCTGATCCAGATTCTTTTCCAACTCTTTCGAGTTCTTGACATCCAAGAATCTCACAAACCCAAACTTGGTTCCATTCCTGCTTTTCCTCTTAGGACAATAAATGTCATATACCCTGCCAAATTTCAGGAAAGTTCGCCACATCTCCGCATAACTCCAGTCCTCTGGAAAATTAGTGAAGAAGAAAGGAGTGGCTTGTTCATACGATCCCCCTTTTTGTTTGCTTCGATACTGAACCTGGCCATCATTCATCTGCCTCTGACTCATCTGCCTCTGACCCACATTCTGTTGTCTCCGCTACTGGCTTCTTCTGCGAGATCCTGCATGCTCACGACCCAGTGTTGTCCGTCTTGCTCTTGGCCTGCGTCCATCTCTAACCCCTCTCTCTCTCTCTCTACCTCTCTCTCTCATCCTTTCTCTGTTTAATCAAATTAGTAAGAACAATTACTTGAACAGGCTATAAAGATTTACCTACATCCCTGTTATTAGAATCATGGTAAATTTACTCCGGTATCTATGTTATCTACAGGCTCAGGAATCGTCTTGTCAAAATTATTACTGATTACAAAACAGAAACATCTCTTAGACATGGGTGTAATGACATGCTCAAGGTACTCTTGCAGTCATCGTCTATTGCAGGCTTTCATTTAGGGAAATGTAAAAAACTTGATTTATTTTATAAATGTGAAACATGCAGGCTAATTGTGCTAACCTCAAGCAAGATGTGCAGTTTGCTTGAGCAATGAAGAAGATAATATATGCTCGAGCAAAAAGGGACGGGGGTAAGACTTGTCAGGCAACAGAGAAAGCACTTAGTGTTAGAAACATGGAGGTGAAGTCAAAAACCAGGGGAGGTGCAAGATGTTGCATTTGTTTTGATCCTTTCTCCATACAAAATGTGTCAGTCATCATGTTTTGTTGTTGTCATTTCTATCACACTACTTGCCTTGTGGATGCTGCTTATCCCAGCAATAGCAAGAAAAGCACTAGAGCCACCACTTGTTAGCTAGAGTTAAACTATGAGTATGATAATGGTGCGAAGGAGGATGATGAAGATGAAGATGAGGATACCCAGTCAGGTATGACTTGCATGCAGTGTATGTTATGTATTACAGCTTCTAGTTAAGTTTTTGATGAAGCTTCAATGCACGCATGTATGAGTTGTGTGTGCAGGGCATGTAGTTAACTTGAGGGTGTGCTCCTGTAGCTTTTCTTTTCCATCTACTTTCTTTTTTTCTTTCTAGGCTTGTCCTTGGCTGCGAGGTTGTATTCTCCTCTCCATCTATTTTGCCCACATCTCTTGAATTGCATTGTGCATTATAGTCCATGTAAGTATCACAAAAGGCATAGTCAATATTTTGATAGCTAAGTATAATATTCTTTTTTGGTATTTCAGGTTGTTGAGTGTATGTTTAAATTAAAACTAACTAAAATGGGTTTCTCATTTTTTATGGTGAAATATGAATTATAGACTACAATAAAAATAGTTTTTATTTATATATTATATTTTGTTTGCACTTATAATTACGTCTGTCATATGACTTCAAACTCATTCTAAAATAAAGTTTTGATGTATTCTTATTGATAAAATCAGAGTATGAATGGTAGTGATATGTGCATGAAAGCATGCCTCATATTGTGATTGCAATATACAAATATACAAACTGGTAGTTATAATCAAGTTTAAATTAGGGATTCTATACAAGGAATGCATTTACTAGTATGAATGCATTTACTGATATGAATAGAAAAATGTCAAATATGTAGAGATTATTGCTGATTGATTGATTTCCTTACTCATCTCCTTGATATCCGGACATACCAATCGGTCTGCATGATTAGGTGGTTGTGTTGTATTACTGACCGTGTGTTTTGTGGACACCGGTCAACGCGCTAGCCCTTTGGAAGTTTCCTTGGAAATTTTGTCTAACACACTTTTCTCTCTTGGATCACGTTGGACTCTTTGCATCGGACTGAGTTTCTGTTTGGTGTGGTTGAAATTTTTAATATAAATTTTGTTAAAAAGAAATTATTGTAAAAATATTATTTTTGTAAATAAAAAAATTAAAAATAAAATAAAAATAATGTGTTAATTTTATTAAAACTCAAATTAGAAGCTCCTATAAAAGCATCTACAGAAGCATCAATTCGATGCTTTTGATATTTACAATGAAATGAACAAAAAATTAATTTATGAGAAATTGTAACATTTATTACAAATTATAATATTTGATGTAATTGAAACTTTTGAAATCCAAAAAACTTTGATCAGATGTACCAATCATAACATGAATCTCTTAGACATTTCTGCAATCACAGCTGTCAAGAATTGGATGGAAGCCCCTATCCCGAATCAAGATGGACCTTAGGAGTTGCATTGTTACAAGAAGATTAACTTGTTTATTTATTTATTTTAAATCATTAAAATTTTTAATTATTATTTATATAAATTATTAAATCTTTATTTAAAATTTATTTTTTAAAAGCTAAAAAGTCAAAATAAATTTATTAAAGATAAATGAAGAGAATACATTGTTATAAGAAGATTTTTTTATATTTTTAGTTTTTTTAGTTTAAACTGCTAAAAAATAAATACCATAACAAAAGCACAACTTTAAGTTGCGATTCTTTTTTCCCTTTCGCACTAATATGAAACTGAAAATGCTATTTTCTCATAATTCTACAACCTAAAAACAACCCCAGTGACAGCGCACTCCTTTCGTGGCATACCCAAATAAAATCGTCTTCTAGGACCAGATTCCATCATCTCCCATCCCAATCTCAAATCAAACGTCGGTGTCCTTGGAATAAAGTTTTGCATTCTAGTTGAATGCTTATTTTGCACGCATGAAATTAATACGGTGCAGGCCACTCATTGAAAATCTGGTCTTTAACTTTCTCTCGTAATTATTTCCGTTTGTTTCTTTGGAAAATTGATATCAGGAAAAAAAATCATTAATTATGTGCATGCGGATCATTTTGTGGTGGCTACTTGTGTAATACCTCGTGGTGGCGTTTTTCACAAGGAATTTCAAGTGCGTACGAGTAAGCATTACCATAACCGATTAAAGATATGGCATAAAAAGGATACACCGTGTGTTTTTTTTTTTTTTTTTTGTTCCAATTTCTAAAAAAAAAAAAAAAAAAAAAAATTACGATACTAAAAGTTTAAGTTGGACTAAATACAGTTTTCTTAAAAGTATTTCTAATTTTTTCCTTAAATTTTCAATTTTCAAAGGGTTGGAAGATTGTAATTTCTAGAAAAGAGTTTTTGCTATTAAATTTCTAAATTTGATTGTTTTATCAAATGACATGTACACCCTCCGGTTCAACACCGAATTCAATACCATCTGGTTTAATCATTAAAAAATCATTATTTTTTAATCTGAAATTAAAAATAAACAAATATAATGATATAATCATGCACATAAAATACAAAAACTAATTGAATTGATTGTATTTATATTATATTTTTAATGACTAAATTAAAAAATGTTGAACCATAAATTGAATTCGAGGGTATACAAATTATTTTCCTTTATCAAATTGTAAAAATTTTTATGATTATTTTATGAAAAAAAAAAAAAAAAAAAAAAACTCAGGGCTTCTCAATACAGAATGCAATTTAAAACTGCTCATAGTCTGAAATCAAACTTTTTGTCCGCCATC